AGCGGCCCGCGGCGGGGAAGCCCAGGGCGGCTCCCGGCCTCCGCCAGGGTCCGGGCGGCTGGCCGCACCTGCCGCGGGCCCCATAGGAGAAAGCGGGGCGTGGTGGAGCACGCCTGTCACCCAAGCACTCTGGGAGACTGAGGCAGGAGGATCGAAAGTTCAAGCCCAGCTTGGACGACTTAGCGACACCTTTTCCCAAAAAGCGAGTAAGAGGCTGGGGACGAGAGGCCCGGAGTTCAAACCCCCAAAGCAGGGGTGAGGGTTTGGGAGCAGGGTGGAAAGTGTGCCCCGTTCCCCCCACCGCAGGCCGGCTGTCGCAGCAGTCCTGCCTCTCAGCCCTCTCAGGCACTTGTGATCCACCCTCCAGTCTCTTCTGCTTTATCTCCCGTATTACCTTCTCTGCTTAAGAAACCTGCAGAGACCCACGTTCTTCTAAAAGCTTCCTGCACCTGGTCCATCTGAAGCTGTTGCTTTGTTTTGAGACAGGGTCTTGCTGTGTAGTTGAGGCTGGCCTTGAACTCGCGTCTAGCCCGGGCTGGCCTTGGACTCGCAGTGATCCTTCTGCTTCAGCCTCCCAAGTGCTGGGATCCCAGGTGTGCACCAGCAGGCCTGGCTTGCTTTTCTCTTTTAAGACCTAGCTCACAAGTCCCTCGCTTCCTCTTGCTCCTTACGTGCCAGTAGCCCTTTGCGCCTCAATTTAAGCTGCTTTGCCTGGAAAGCTTTGCTCCTCGTCCCACTGTATTGCGGTGTAGAAAGGCATTTGGTAAGTCTCTGTGGTCCATCCAGTTCCTCAGTGAACTCCCAAGTACTCTTGATTTCAATGGAGAGCTTTTCCAGGGTTACTTTATCTGGTTGGTACTGCTGTTTTCTTTCAGGGGCCAGAGAACAGGCGCAGAGTGGTTTACAAAGCCTTTAAGTCAATAGCTTTCCTCTACTCTTTGGATAGAGGTCCAGCGTGGTAAACAGTCTGCAGGCCTGACCTTGCTACCTTTCCCAACCAGCTCTTCCCACTGGTCCTGTGGTACCCCGTGGGCTGGCCACACTGACCTTGTTTGCTTTCGCAGTCCCTTCAACTTTGCATTTTCTCTCCCAACTTCAGAGCCTTTGTGAGGCTGTTTTCCCTGCCTAGGAATTCTCCACCCTTCCACCCACTCTTCAGGGACCCTTCCTTGCTGTCCCTGCCCATCCTGTGCTGTCCTAATGCCGTGTACTCCTCGGCTCCTCCTTCCCAGCACAGCTGGTGAGTAAATGGTGTTTGTGGTTAGGTGGCTGGTACCTTTCTCCCTCAGTGGACTGCAAGCATCATGAGCAAGTAACTCAGATAAGCTCTACTGCATCTAATACAGGGCCTGGTACGCTATAGGTCCTTGTTAAATATTTGTTGAACAGATAAAGGAAGCCTTGAAATCAACCCAGAAAAGCAGAAATCCATGTTTGTTTTCTAAATCCTTTCCCAGCGTTGCATCTCAGTTACAGTTTATTCATTCAGCAAATATTTATTCATCCCTACCATGTGCCAGATTTTGGTCTAGGCCAGAGAATTCAGTTAAGTAGAAATAAAAACTAACTAGGAAAGCATACAAAAACATACATATAAACAATTACTATTAAATAGTGAAAAGTGCTTAAGAGAAGAAAACAAAGTAATACTGCAGGGAGTAGGAATTTGTTGGGCAGTTTTCAGACAGGGAGACCATTGCTCGGATGGTCCCCACATACATTTGCTTGGATATCCCCAGTTTATGTTCATTTGTGTTTGTGGACGTGTCTGTGTTTAGACAATAAACTATACGGTCACCGTAATTATAGACAGAATAGTCGCTATATCAGGTTTTTCTAAAGAGCAGAAGCCAGGTGGGAGAGAAGAACATGAATTATGTCCCTTTAACTGTGTGCACCACCTGCACTGGGAGAAGCTTCATAAGACTGGGAACTAGAAACAGGGCCAGGGCAGCCAGAGCCCAGTGGAAGACCTTCCTTAGAGAGTTAGCAGGATTTAAATTGGGCCAAAAGCCAACCAAAAGAATGGAAGGACCCAGAAACCACAAATGTTCACTCTGCTCCCCTATGATGGTTTAAACAGATTGGTAAAGTATAATTGATAAGCAATAAGTTACATTTGCTTAAAATACTGAAAATGTACAATTTGATAAGTTTGGCATATGTTTCCATTCATTTAGCCAGCACTGCTATTAAGGTAATAAATTTAGCTGGGTTTGGTGGTACACACCTTGGTGGGTTTGGTAATTCCAACACTCTGGGAGGCTGAAGCAGGAGGATTGCAAGCTCGAGCCTAGCCTGGACAGTGTAGTGACCAACCAAGACCCTGTCTCAAAATTTAAAAAAAAATTTTTTTTAGAAATGTAGCTCAGTGTGAAGGCCCTGGATTCCATCCCCCATCCCGCCCCCCCAAAAAAGATAATGAACATACATCGTCCTGAAAGTTTCTTTATGCTTCTTTGTAGTCAGTTCTTTATCTTGTCCCTCCTAGGCAGCCACTGACCTGCAGCTTTCTGTCTCTACTTTGTTACTTCTAGGATTTTAAAGAGTTTGGTTTATAGTAAGTATCATTTTGGTGTCTGATTTCTGTTACTTATGTTAATTTTTTTTTAATGTTTGAGACAGGATTTCACTATGTAGTTCAGACTGCTCTTGAACTTACAGCAATCCTCCTGCCTCAGCCTCCTAAGTGCTGGAATTACAGGCATGCCCTGACATTCCAAGCTATGTATGCATAATTATTTTAATGGTGAGCTTACATACCTATTTTTCATGGATTGTATTTTTGGTGTCGTATCCAAGAAATCTTTGCCTACCTGAAGGCCACAGAAGTCTTCTATATTTTCTTCTAGTTTTATACTTTTTGATAAAGGTTTATGATCCATTTTGAGGCAGTTCTTTAAAATACGGTACAACTATTGATTTAGGTTTTTTTGTTTTTGTTTTTGCAAATGGCTGTTTGCTGCAGCACCATATGTTGAAAAGATATCCTTGCTTCACTGAGTTAGTTTATACCTCTATTGAAAATCAGTTGCAAAAAAAAAAAAAAAGAAAAAAAAAAGAAAATCAGTTGCTCATATATGTGTAGACCTGTTTCTGAACTTTTCACTCTGTTCCATTAATCGGTTTACCTCTCTTGACACCTGTACTACACCATCTTGATACCGTGGCTTTATAATAACCCTTGAAATAAGGTAGTGTTAGTGTTCCAGTTTTGTCTCTGTTCTTCAAAGCCCTTTCCATTTCTATATGAATTTTAGAAACTTTTACAAAAACCAGAACTTTGAATTAAAATGTCAGACCTTTATGTCTTTGCATTTCCATATAAATTTTAGAAGCAGTTTGTCAATTTCAACAAAAAGATGAGAACTTTGAATAAAAATGTTAAGGGTTTATGTGAATTTTAGTTCTTAAACCATTTTAGACACACACACACACACACACACACACACACACACACACATGATGACACGCTCACACACACTGTGATGCAGTTATTCCAGGTAGATAAAGTGTGGTTGACATGCAAGAAAATATAAAGCTGTGGGGCATCGTTGTGCATGCCTATAATCCCAGCACTCTGAAGGCTGAGGCAGGATGGTTGCCACGAGTTCAAGACCACCCTGGACCATATAGTGAGTTCAAGGCCAGCGTGAACTACATAGCAAGACCCTGTCTCAAAAACAAAAGGGAACAACAACAAAAGTCAGAATGCAAACAAGGCCACACCTAGCATTAGGTTGGGCCTCTTAATAAAAGGGGCTCAATAAACACTGGTCACATCAACAGCTTCCATTGCATGTGAACTCTCCGTTGCTGTTTAGGTATTTTTCCTTTTAGAACTTTTTTTCTTAAATGCAATTAAGGAAATGTGAGAAAACATGTCAAACTTATAGAACTAACCCTCCCCCTCATTTGTATTTGTCTTGACAGCCGGGTAAGGGGAAGAAGGGGAAAGGCCCAGGCAAGGCCCCTGGGAAGAAGCAGAAGAAGCCCGAAGTGGACATCCTGAGTCCGGCCGCCATGCTGAACCTGTACTACATCGCGCACAATGCAGCCGACTGCCTCCAGCTGCGTGGCTTCCGGTGGCCCGGCGCGCCCAAGGGGAAGAAGGGCAGGAACAAGACCTAAGAGAAGAGAGAAGGAGATAACCGGACAGCGATGACTGCAGGCAAAATAGACCTCACCGGAGACATTTTGAAATGCAGCTCAGTGTGCTTTTTGGTGGTAAATTAGGATTTTAAAGCGCATTTTACTTCCTCAGCTGACCCAGGTATAACTAAGGGGAGGTTTTTCAAAAGTTATGGGAAACAAGCCCCGTGCAGTGCCTACACAGCTTGGTGGAACTCCTGGTACTTTTAAAAACTATCATCATAATTCTGTGTCAGAATTAAACCTTGCTCTGGAAAGGCAGTTGCAGGTTGCATGACTTGTTTTGTTTTGCAGAAGGGGGTTTGCTATTAGAGAAGACACAGCGCGTGCTTGGACTTTACTTATGAACACCCCTCTCTGGCACTGTTTTTTGTTTTTGTTTTTGAACCCTGGGCTGAGCCCTGGGCTCTTGTGCGTGCTAGCCCAGTGTTCTAACTTCATTTTTGTTTTTGTTTTTCTAACGGAAAAAAAGATTCTTTTTAAGACAAGATCTTGCTATTGTTCAGGCTGGCCTTAAATTCACTTTGTAGCCCAAGTTGGTCTTGAACTCACAGTAACGCTCCTGCCTCAGCCTCCCAAGTGCTGGGATCACAGGCGTGTACCATCATGCCTGGCCAGAAAATATTTTCTGTCATTTTCTTTTAGCTCTTTGGTTAGATTCAGCTACAGACCCTGGTGAAGACAAGAGTGTCACAAGTGCAGTGAGCTTGCTGGACACATAAACAGGTGATTAAAAGGACCAGCGTGCTGGTACATGCCAGTATTCCCAGAACTCGGGAGGCTGGGGCAGGAGGATTGACATGAGTTCAAGGCCAGCTTGGACTACATAGCGCAAAGCCAGCCTGCACTAAGCTCCTGTCTCAAAAAGCCAAAATAAATAAGTATATGTCCATTGTCCAACCCGATAGGCAGGAGCCCCTGGTGGCGATTGAGCACCTGAAGTATGGCTGTGCAACTGCAGAACTGACCTGATTTGATTTCCCTGTAATTAGTTTAAATTGGATGCCTTGGGGCCAGCCCTTGAGGCATCCAGGATCCACGTCAGTGCAAGGACCTCAGCAGCAGGGTTGTGACTCTTCCTTCTTGTGCAGTGGTGGTGAGGCCAGGGATTCTGCAGGCTGGAACAATGGGCCCTCCCTCTCTGCTCTACCTGTCACCTCTCCCCCTGCAGGGGTGCTTGCTGTAGGTTTCTGCCTTTCCATGACTTAAGCTCCACTTTACGGTCTTTTTTTTTTTTTTTGTGGTCTTTTTGAGACAGGGTCACCCTGTGCAGCTCAGGCTGACCTTGAGCTCACTTTGTAGCCCAGGCTGGTCTCGAACTCGCAACGATCCTCCTGCCTCAGCCTCCCGAATGCTGGGATTACAGGCATGTGCCACCACACCAAGCTTTTTTTTTTTGGCACCAGGAATCCAACTCACAACCTCACGCTTGCCAGGCACGTGCTGTGCCACTAAGCCGTATCCCCAGCCTATGGTCATTTTTTTGGCTTGCTTTGAAGTTCAGCTTCAAAGTGAGACCCCTCATTCTTGGGGTGTGACAGGAGGAAGGACCTGATGGACACCCTGTCCCTTCATGGGGCCTGGCTCTGTTGCAGCAGCACGGGGTGCGCAGTTGCAGTTGGGGCCTCCCGCTTGGCCTCAGCTGTGCTCACAGGGTGGGCTGAGTGGGTCAGGTGTCCCTGAACAGCGCATCCAGAGTGAGCCTTCTGCAGGCCGGGGCGTGTGAACACTCACGTTCCTTCCCTCTGTGTCTCCCTGTATGGTCAAGATCCTAGAGAAAATTCACCTCTGCTTGCAGTTTCATTCACTTCCTCACAGTAAACATGTCACACACGTTTTTCTTCTCTTGCTATTGATTGATTTATTTACTTTAACCAACTTTGTAGTTTTTGTTGCTTTCCTCCTGACTCCTCCTGAGTGCTAAAATTACCAGTGTGTGCCACCAGAACCAGCTTCCCATTTTGTGTTTTAAAAATTTTCAAACCTATAGATAGTTTTTTTGTGGGGGCTGGGGATTTAGCTCAGTGGCACAGCGCCTGCCTGGCAAGCGCAAGGTGGTGAGTTTGATTCCTGGTACCGGAAAAACAAACAAACAAACAAACAAAAAATTTGTGTGTGTGTGTGTGAGTGTGTGTGTCTTTTTGAGACAGGGTCCCCCTGTGCAACTCAGGCTGACCTTGAGCTCACTTTGTAGCCCAGGCTGGTCTCGAACTTGCAACCTCAGCCTCCCAAGTGCTGTGATTACAGGCATGTGCCAAAACCTATAAAGAGTTTGAAAGAAAATTCAGTGAAGGGGCTGGGGATTTAGCTCAGTGGCACACTGCCTGCCTGGCAAGCGCAAGGTCGTGAGTTCGATTCTTGGCGCTGGAAAAAAAACAAAAAAACAAAAATTCAGTGAATACCCAGATCCTTTGCCTAGAGCAGGGCTCCCAGTCTTGGCCTTCTTGACCTTTTGTGCTGGGTGTCCCTCACCATGGGTTGCCCCAGGGTCCTAGGATGTCTGGCCGCACCTGCTGAGGGGCGGCTGTGCCGCCAGCCTCCAGCCCCACCTGCCAGATGCTGCAGCATACTTGGCTATGACGGTCACGTGTCTCCACACTGCCAGATGTGCCCCAGGAGACAAGAATCACCCCACTCACTGACCTAAATTTGTACATTTACATTTTGTTGCATTTGTCCCTGCACACTATACACATTAATAATATGAATACATACTTGTATACACACAAAACACTGACATCAAGCCTCCTGAGTCCTGGGATGACAGGCATGTGCCACATGCCCAACCTACAGTAGAATATTATCTGGCCTTAAAAATGAATGAAATTCTCCAGCTGGTTGGGGTGGCCCACATCTGTAATCCCAGTGTCAGGAGACGGAGCCAGGAGGATCATCTCAGGTTCAAGGCTTGCTTGAACTACATAGCGAGAGCCTGTCTCCAAAAGACAAAACCAAAACCAAAACAAAAACTGGATGAAATTCTTATGTTACGGCATGGATGAAATCCTTTGAAACATGCTAAATGAAATAAGCAGATATAAAAGGACAAGTATTGTAGATTTACTTGCATAAGTAATCTAAAACAGGAATAGTCCCAGAGAGAGACCAGTGATCACCAGGGGCTGGGACAGTGGCAGGAGGTTTCTGTTTACTGGGTACAGAGTTATGGCTGGGAAGGTGTGCAGGGCCTAGAGATGGCAGTGGTGGTAGTTACACAGTGTGAGTCTGTTACTGCCACTGCACGGCCCCCTTCACATGGCTAAAATGCAAAGATTTATGTTGTGTGTATTTTAGCCCAATACAAAATCCAGACTTTGTTTGTTTTAGATCTCTAGAGAGGTTGGGAAGGGACAGCAGCAGGTGCAGGGAAGATGTCCCTGGGCAGAAGAGCAGCCTTGGAGGAAGGGGCCCGCAGGCGGACAGCAGCCCCGCTCCTCCCACAGCACCCGTCCTCCGCAGCCTGCAGCTTTGCTCCGTGTCCTTCCTCGTAAGGCAGAGAAGCTGGGGCTCCTGCAAGACCCTGTCCCGAAACAGAAAAAGTGCTGGGCGTGTAGGTTGGTGGCGCTGTGCCCCTAGGTTTAATCCCCAACACTGGGGGCATATAATCCTTTTATAAGACTTTTTTCTCTTCCTTCCCCTCCTCCTCCTCATTTTTTATTTAAATGGACCTTTAGAAGTGCACTACATTAAGCCAGGTGTTGTGGCAAATACCTATAATCCCAGCATTTGGGAAGCTGAGGCAGGAAGACTGCTACAAGTTCGACACCAGCCTGGGTTACAAAGAGAAACCTTGTCAAAAATGATAAAACGAGTGCACTATATGAATTTGCAGGATTTTTACCTACATCAGTAGAGCCTGCCTCTGTGCCTGGAGTTCAGTTGTACTTACCGCCACATTACTCAGCTGTATAAAAGAATGTCCATTTACACAGCCTGGTCAAATGTTTTATCTTTTTGAGACAGGGTCTCACTATGCAGTTCAGGCTGGCCTTGAATTTTGTAACGCAGGCTGGCCTCGAACTCGCAATGATCCTCCTGCCGCAGCCTCCTGAGTGCTGGGATTACAGGCGTGCGCCACCACGCCCGGCTTCTTGGTCAAATGTTTTAAAAAATGCATCTGGGGCCCAGGGATGTAGCTGAATAGAGTGTGTACTTAGCATACACAAAGCCCTAGGTTCAGTCTACAGTAGGAAAACAAATGCGTATATATATTCTTACCTAAAAGGAGTACATGCTGTTTTCCAAAGGCCCAGGATGATTTATAGGACTGTTGCAGTGGCTCAGTTCTCATTCTTATAGCAAGTCCTGGGTTTGCTTCTACCCAGGCAGGTGAGCAGTGTGGCAGTGCAGACAGACAGCACCCAGGGATCGAGCAGCTACTCACACAGACATGGGCGGCCATCTGCTGCTTGGGTTTGCACAGATGTGCAAAGCCATCCACCTGGCCATGGCTTTAGGTGTCTTTGTAGAAAGCAGAGTCCCTAGGTTGGGAGTTAAGTCATGGGTTGCAAAGCAAGACATACCCTTGGATAAATAGATGTGCGATCTTGGGCCAAGCTGTCTAATTTATCTGTGGTTGTTTTCCCAATTGTAAAACTGAAAGACCAAAAAAGACCTTATCTTATAGGATATCATGGGGATTAAATGAGAAAATAATGTTTTGGGTATGGTGGTGTACTCCTATAATCCCAGCACTCGGGTGGCTGAGACAAGAGGATCGGTGTGAATTTGAGGGCAGCCTGGGATACATAGTGAGACCCTGTCTCAAGAAGGAAAAGGGGAGGGAGGGAGGGAGGAGGGAGGGAGGGAGAGAGAGAGAGAGAGAGAGAGAAAGGAAAGAAAGACAAAAGAAAGAAAGAAAGATGTCATGAGCATAGCCTAGTGCCTAGCACATGGTGGTAAATGTTCAAACCATCTTGATGCCGCTAATTAAAGAACTTGCCGTTGACACAGGCTGCCAGACTGTTGGGTTGGTTTCTTCCTACCTTCAGTCTTGTTCCCACACATAAATCCTGTGAAGTTAACTATTTAAATTATCACCTAAAATTTAATTCTTACATCAGAATAAAAAACTTAAAACAGCTAACAAGCAGCACTGAGAGTGCTGCAGGAACACACTTTATACCCTTGAACTCAAAGACCTTACATTTTTCACAGTTGCCTTTGAAGGAAAGATAGACATGCAGACCTTGGGACTGAAACAACAGGGACACCAGGTCAGGTGGCACCACCTGTCGTGAGTGGCTGTGGTGTTGGGATGGGAAAGTATGATCATGAATTTGCGGAGGCGTTGACTGTGCTCAAAGGTGAAGGTAGCAATCTGCATTCAAAACTAATCACTCAAGGATCACAATAGAGCAACTGAATCAATCAACCAACCAATCAATAAAACATCTTTTCTTCAAAACAAAATTCAAACACCAAATGCAACAAAGCCCATGGTTTCTAGGTCCACCAGTGAGACTTGCCACCTTCCTATTGTTGAGCTCTCTGCCAGGCCAGGCTGTTCCTCAGGATGTACGTTTTGTTTGCCCCAAGACACAAAGCACCGAATCCGCTTTGTTTAAAGCCACCCCTGTTCTCATGGTAACTGATGGTCCATCAGCACCAAAATACATAAAAGACACTGAGGAGCGTGAGGATGTTACTACGACAACTGGAATTTCAAGTGTACATTTTTAAAGGCACGTGGGAGGGCTTGATTTGGCTTGCTTTTAGAAAGCCTGGGTAGAATGAGCCAAGCATTTTAGAATCAGGGTGCCCTAGGGTCTGAGGTTGGGATTCATGTGTTCACAGTGCTGGCTGGGAGTCGGGTCATGACAAGGGTGTTGGCCACAGAGTTCTGTGAACTCACTTCAGTGAAATGTTCTCTCTCCAGAAAATCTGCAAAGTTCTCTCTGTGTAGAGGAGTCACCAGGATTGAGGTGATTCCAGGAGAGGAACTCTAGATTTTTAGCATTTATGGAATTTGCAGGTACTAGATGACCGGGAGAAACAAGCCTACTTTTAGTTTTTAGGGTTTTTTTAGGGGGGTGGTACCAGGAATCAAACTCAGGATCTTTTTTTTTTTGTTTTTGTCTTTTTGAGACAGGGTCTCACTGTGCAGTTCAGGATGGTCTTGAGCTCACTTTGTAGCCCAGGTTGGTCTTGAACTTGCAATGATCCTCCTGCCTCAGCCTCCCAAGTGCTGGGATTACAGGCGTGCGCCACCACGCCCCACGCAAACTCAGGATCTTATACTTGCCAGGCAGGCACAGCACCACTGAGCTATATCCCTGGCCCCTAAGCCTACTTTTTAAAATGTCCAGTCTTAAGCTGGGTGTGGTGGTACATGCCTGTAATTCCAGCACTCGAAGGCTGAGGCAGGCGGATCCTTGTGAGTTTGAGGCCAGCCTACACTAAATAGTGGGACCCTATCTCAAATTTTAAAAAGTCCAGTCTTACATAAGTAAATAAAGTCCATTTTCAAGCTAAGAATGGACAGAGACTTGAAAGTCCCAAGTCCCTGTGGACTTGAAAAAGATAAGACATTTCCATTTTCTTCTGTGGCTATGAATTTATTTCTCATCCTGCGCCTGAAAGGCATCTGTTGGGTGTTTAAACCTGAGCAGCCCCTGACTTCAGTTTAGGGTGACGGTGGATTTGTGGACAGCCAGGAGGTGCCAGCCTTCTGGGTGTGGCACAAACAAAGACTTCTCGCACTTTGGGGTCACCCTGTGTTGTGCCTTCACAGCCCACTTTCAGCTGTACATGGTGACTGTCCACCCAGGGCCACCAGCCTTCCTGAGGACTGTGTTGGTTTCTGCCAGCCTAGAGTGCTGTGACCTTGCTCTGGCATCTCTCCCATCGCCTGAAATACCCCTCACGAGGCTGTCACTTCTCTTGGTCTTGCTAACTACACACAGCTTTCTGCATGTGGCCCAGGCCTGGGTCTCTGAAGGTCTGGTTGGGGCCAGTACCCACCCAGGTGGCTCCAGGGGTGGCACAGGTGGTGGCACAGAGATGCCTAAAGGGGAACCTCCACTGGGGTCCTCCAGCTCAGAGAGCAGCTACTTGCCCAGGTCAAGCAGTGGTAATCAAGGAGGTGGAATTGAAGCCTAGGAGAGGTGGCAGTGTAAGTTATCGCTTGAGGGACCTTCGGGCGCCCCGCTGTCACTTTGCTCTTTTGGCCTTCCTGCCCCAGCTCCCCCTGGGCAGGGGCTATGGAGGGGTGGCAGCCCCACAGCCACCCGGTGTGCTGGCACATTTTACAGGCTGCTGCGCTTGCTGCTGAGCTTCTGACAGCCTCCACACCGGGACCAGCTCATCCTCTGCCCGTGGGTTCACCTGTGCTGCACAAACCAGCCAGTCTTACATCCACTCCATCCCTTCCATCCTGCCCTGTGACGGGGACACTGTCTCCACGCCCCAACTCCCCAGCAGGTGACAGACAGGGACCAGCCCAGAAGCCAGAGCCCATGAAAGTGCTCCAGCTACGCAATCTAAGATACTAGGCTCGTTGCCCTGCAATTCTCTGCCCTTCCTACAAACACTACAATGAAAGCCCTCTGTCTTCTGCCTCTAGCTGATTTCCTGCATGGTGTGGTGTGCCCTGTGCCCCTCCTATTTGGAACTGTAATAAAATAAATAAATAACTTTTTCTTTTTTTTTTCTTTTTTTTTTTTTTTTTTTGCCTTTTTGAGACAGGGTCTCACTGTGCAGTTCAGGCTGGCCTTGAACTCATTTTGTAGCCCAGACAGGGCCTCGAACTCAAAGCAATCCTCCTGCCTTAGCCTCCCAAGTGCTGGGATTACAGGCGTTTGCTACCAAGCCCAGCTCTTTCTTTTGTTTTCTTTTTTTTTGTGGGGGACAGGGGTTGCAGGGCAGAATCTTGCTGTGTAGTCTGGGCAGGTCTTGAACGTGCTATATAGCCCAGCCTGGTCTAAAATTTCCAATCTTCCTGCCTCAGCCTCTCCAATGGTGAGATTATTTATAAGTGTGTACTACCATGCCCAGCAACAAACTATCTTTTCCCCCCAAAGGAATTTGGCCTCACCATACTTCAATAAAAATAAAGTCCTGGGTTCATTTAAAACACAAGAGAACAAAGAGGAGGGGCAGGATGGGCCGGCCCATTGAAGCCTGGCCGTTGGTCATCTTCAGGGGGACCCTCTCCTGCACTGCACCCTCTTAGCTGTCTGTTCTCATCTGCCTTCCCCCTCCATTGAGGGTCCTCTGCTCTTCTTGGCTTCCGGTGTCTTCTGCCCTCCCCGAAATCCTAAGGCCAGAGTCTGAGTTCACAGAGAGGTCAGGTCTGGGCCCAGATCAAGGACGGGACCCATTTCCTTTCCTGCACTTCCACTCCTCTCACATCAGTGCCCGCTCTGGCCCATCAAAGCCCTGGGGACAACACAGTCACCTCTAGAATTTCCCAGCCGGCGGGCAGAAGTCCTTCGCAGGAAGGTGCCTCTGCTCGCACCAGCTCGACCAGCTCAGCAGGGATGACTCAGCTGAGGACCGACACTGCCTCGCTCCTCCACTGTCGCCGCTTCCAGCCCAGAAACACTTGGCGCAGGTCCTCATCTTCCTCTCTCACCTACTATTAGTAAGGGTCACGGGACGGCCGTGACACCAAATTGACAGAGTATGTGACACGGACTGATGTCTCCATCGCAGGTAACCACACAGACGAATCCGCCCGGAGCAGGGCAGGCAGCACCGGGGAGAGACAGGTGGAAAGAAAGGAAGGAAGAGAAAGAGCCGCTGAGCTGAGTGTGCCGGTGTAGAGCCCGGCTGAGGGGCTCAGCCCTGATTGTGCAGGGCCAGGTGGCTCCTCCCAGAGGCCCGAGAAGGTGCGCATGTGTGCGCGTGCGTGCGTGCGTGCGTGCGTGCGTGCGAGCGAGTGAGCGAGCGCGGGCTTCACCATGGAAGGACAGGAGAAGCTGGAGTGCCCGCCTAAGCCCCAGAGCCGGTCAGTCTACTTGGGGTCAGGGGAGCAGGAAGGGAGGGGACTCCACAGGGGTTGTGGAGGATGTAGAACGGATCCTTGGCAGGTATGATGTGTGCTTTGTGCTTTGCAGAATCTCTGCTTGGGGACATCACTTACTGGGCTGAGGATGAACTCTCTCACTAAATGCCTCTTTTCCTGATCAGTGTGCAACCTGCAAAATGCACACTGGATTCCTGCTGGGCTCTGAGATGCTTTCTGGTCCTACATAGTGGGCATGACTCCCGTCAAAGGAGGCCACACACTCTGGAGTCATTTGCAGATAGTCACAGCTTCAACTGTATCATTGGTGACTGTCCAAAGGCCTCCTGCATTGTGAGGCTGTAGTGACGGCTTGGGATGCAAACAGGAGGGCAATGTCAATACAGTTGCCGGGAAGAAGTCAAGATGGAGAGACAAAGAAGGAAGAGGATTGGTGAAGAAAAGTAATGAAGTCTGCTTGGATACAATGACCTTGAGGTTCTGAGGATCAGCCAAGTGATAATGTTTGGATAAAGAATGTTAAGAAGAGGCTGCTGGGGGCTGCGGGTGTAGCTCAGCAGAACCGCACCTGCCTGGCAGGCACAAGGTCCTGAGTTTGATTTTCAGTACAAAAAAAAAAAGAGGGGGGGGGGACTGGAGATTTAGCTCAGCGGCACAGTGCCTGCCTGGCAAGCGTGAGGTCGTGAGTTCGAATCCCGGTACCGGGGGCAGGGAGAAGAAGCTGCTGGGCACAAAAGCCTCTCTGTTTCTGTGTGGGGCTGACAGGTTCAATGTGATCTATGTGAGGAACATGGGGTATTGGCAGAACTCCCCCAAAATGAAGTCAGAGTCACTTTCTGAGATGTAATTTAGGAATCAGGATGTGACTGAAGACTTGCTCAACTAGAGAAAGCAAGTGACACAGGCATTTGTAGCAAGAGTGACTAAAGTGTTAGGAGCACCCCCTGGAGACGTGGAAGAGGAGGAGCACTAGGGCCTTCCTTTCCGAGCTGGATGTCTGCTCCTTCTGACACTAGCCTAGTGTTTACTGCCATACCACCCTGAACGCGCCCGATCTCGTCCGACACCAGCCTCCCATCAGGTGTGAAAAGTTCCCCACCAACCTCAGCCCCCTCAACCTGTGCTGGCCTTCACGTCCTAGGTTTGCAGGAGGAATTGGTCTCTGATCAGACTATGTCCTTCCCAGACTCCTTGTTCTCCTCAAGCTTCCCCAGCCTGGACTTGGCCTCTCATTCATTTGGTTTCTCCTCTCACCCCAGGTTATTCATTGATCACTAATTTTTGTTAAGACTTTTCCACTTAAAGGCATTTGTACCTTCGTTTGTACCTTGACTGTCACTGTAGGCACTTGGCAAATCACTAGTGGTTTCTTTTTTCAGGAAAAGGACCAAGGTATAGACACTTGTCCAAGGTTACACCGTGTGAGGTCCATAGTTGAACCTGGGTCTTCTGACTCCTTTACAGGCTGCTCTGATTAAATTAATATCATTTCACCCATTTTAAAGTTTCTTAGCTGGGTGTGGTGGTGCACCCCTGTAATCCCAGCACTTGGGAGGCTGAGGCAGGAGGATCACCAGGAGTTCAAGGCCAGTCTGGGCTACATAGTGAGTTCAAGGCCACCCTGGACTACACAGTGAGACCCCCTTCTCCCTGTCTCTCTCTCAAAGGAAGTATCTTCACACATAGGCCTTCATCACATCTGGACTCCTGTATGTTCACCCAACCTCCAACTTGCCAACCTGTGGAAATTCTTATCCTTCCTAGCTCCGCTTCACTGTCCCCTCCTCAAGAATGCGTCCCCTTCCTGACCCAGGGAGAGCAAAGTCCAGGGCAGGTGCATTTGCTCCCAGTGTGCCTTGGACAGGAGTTCATACTCTTGCTTCAGGGGAGGCTGGGGGGTCCCAACTTGCTGGCTTGTAGTGGAAGGCAAGCTCCCTGCCCCCAGGCCCCTGAGGCAGAGGCACCCACAAGCCAGATGGCCCAAGAATGACAGGGCTACTGCTCAGCAACTATGCAGGTTGTTTCATCCTCACAGTTCTCAAATGAAATGTCACTGACACAAGGCCACTCCCTCTTGTCATAGAGAGTGTGTGCATGAGCCAGGTGCAGTAGTGCAGACCTGTAATTCCAGCTACTCTGAAGGCTGAGACAGCAGGGTCACAGATTCAAGGCCAGCCTGGGCAACTTAGAGCCCACTACAAAACCAAACCAAAACATAACAGAACAGAAAAGGGGTAGGGATGTAGTTTGGTGGTGGAGCACTCGCCTGGTATGTGCAGGGACTTGGGGAAAACCCCCAGTACTGAGAAAAAAAAAATTCTGATGCTTACAATTCCATAAATGTAATCACCTTGCCGCCGAGAACCTGACGTCCACCCTCATCCCCTCTCCATCAGTGGTCAGAATGGCATCCTCAGGTCGGGGGTGAGTCGCCCCAGAGAACAAGTCTTGCTAGTGTAGTGGAGCTACACAGGACAAGGGGCCCTGAGCGACTGAAGCGGGCTGGTGCTTCCCTCTGGGAGATGTTCCTCACTGCCTTAGGGCCTTGCTAGTCAGGTCTGCCCTGGTGAGATTGGTGTTACCTGGGACCATTTCTAAACTATAGACTGTCCTAAGTACAGCCACAATGAGAGATGGTATGAAGCTGTAACCCCGGCTTATGTGGCAACCAAAAAACCAGAACTACAGCTACCTTCTGATCCAGCAGTCCCACTTCCGGGAATGTGTGCAGGGGAACTGAAATCAGTATGTCAAAGGGACACCTGCACTCCTGTGTTCACTGTGGCATCAACCACAACGGCCAAGATATGGAATCAACCTAAGAGTCCATCAGCAGATGGACAGATAAAACAATGTAGTACCCATGCGTGATGGAATATTATTTGCCCTTAAAAATGAAGAAATCTTAGCATTTGTAACAACATGGATGACCCTAGAGGCCATCAGATTAAGTGAAATAAGCCAGGCATAAAAGACAGGCACCACATGACCTCATTTACTGTTTTTTTTGTCTTGTTTTGTTTTTTTCCGGTACCGGGAATCAAACTCACAACCTCGCGCTTGCCAGGCAGGCGCTGTGCCGCTGAGCTAAATCCCCAGCCCCCACATGACCTCATTTAGATGTGAATCCAAGGGCCGGGGATATAGCTCAGTGGCACAAACGCCTGCATGGCAAGCTCAAGGTCCTGAGTTCAAGTGCTGGTACAAAAAAAAAAGTTTAGATGTGAATCTAAAAAAGTCAAACTTGAGTGTGGTAGCACATGACTGTAATTCTGATTATGCAGGAGGCTGAGGCAAGAGGATTGCTAGTTTAAAACCAGCCTGGGGGCCAGGCGTGGTGGCAAACATCTGTAATCCCAGCACTCAGGAGGCTGAGGCATGAGGATCGTTGCGAGTTTGAGGCCAGCCTGGGCTACAAAGTGAGCTCAAGGCCAGTCTGAACTGCATAGCAAGACCCTGTCTCAGAAAGACAAAAAACAAACAAACAAAAAAATAAAACCAGCCCTGGGCAACTCAGTGATAGCTTCCAGTTTCCCAGGTGCGTATCTCATTGGTCTAACTGAGCCAGGATTCTAGGATTCCCAGAGACAGACGGCCTGGCCAGCAAGCACAGCTCCTCCTGTGTCGCCAGCAGAGCAGGGCAGAGCAGCAAAAAGGTATTTGAAGACAAACAGGGTCAGTGTTGCCACATAAGCCAAGAGCTCTTCCTCAAAAGATAAATAACTGTTCGTCGAAAGAGATGCACTTTCCTCCACAAAGGAAGTATTCGAGGCCTCAGAACGTTTGAGAAGTGTTGCGTCTTCTGGATCAGACGAGTCCAGTGACAGAGCCGCTTTCCCTGTGGCCTGGGCCACCTGGACCCACCATGGGTCCCAGGCAAGACTGGCAGACTTTAGATCAGTCAGTAAATGATGGGAGTGGCTCACCCAGTGCTGCTGCGTATGTCCTTAAAAATCCCCAAAGGCTCACGAAGCACTGTGCCCTTTGCTCAGTGGAAGGAACCCATGCAACATCCAGTGCCTTGCCTTTCGCTTTGGAGGCGCTGTTGCAGCGTGCCTCAGGCCGCTGGCTCCCGTGCCCCCTTTCTTCATTTTAATTAATTAATTAATTAATTTTTTTGGTACTGGGAATCAAACTCAGGACCTTGTGCTTGCCAGGCAGGTGCTTGTGCCACTGAACTATATCCTTGGCCCTTATTATTTTTTTTAAAATGTGCTGCTGGGGATTGAACCCAGGGTCTCACATGTGCTAGGCAGGTGGCTCTACCACAGAGCCATATGCTAGGCCCCAGAGCCCCAAAATTTTACTGAGGTAAAAATTTTTAATGAGGTAGAAGTTGCTGGATTTTTGTGGAATTTTTCTCTACTCTCCAGCATGCATAGCCTCCGAAAAACAGCTGGGGCACCGGTATTTCCTAATCTTCACATATGATCCCCATTGTGTCATGAATAAAGCAAGAACTCGTGTATCTTATGAGACAGTGAGTCAAGCAAAGTCCCTGCAAAGGAAATTGGAGCAGAGTCAGAAAGTTAACCTGAACTAGACCGTGAGGATGTACTGCTGTCCCTGTTGTGCAAAATAAAGCAGTTCTCCGTGTTCTGAGCTCATCTGATGAAAGAAAGAAGGGCTAAACAAATAGTTGCAAACAAATGTAAGAGGTGTGTTTATTTGGTCCAGAAAAGAGACCAGATTTGAATACCAGGAATAAATGCAATCACCACTTTATTAGATCCATTTTTACTTGGTAAATCACATCTTTTTGTCTTAAGAAAAAAATGTTATAACCTGACCTCTTGTATAGGTTAGGATCATTTTGGCTCTAACAGAAGGCTCAACTAGCACAAGAAGTTCAAAGGTAGGACAATGACAGGCTTGGTTAATTCAGAATATAAAAAACCACCAGGGATCCACTCAGATTCCTTCCATCGTTCTGCTGTCACTCTCAAGGTCTCAGTAACTCTGTTTGTTCATCTTGTGGGATA